AATGACTGTGAGTATGGGTGTCGATTGAAAAAAAAATAATCACATTTATACCTAGTTTACGGATGTTGCTATTTACTTTCTCATGTATGACACTGAAGTTATCGAAATGTCTGATAGTTTTCTATTCATCATATTCTTATATTCGTCATCATCATATATTTAAAGCAAATTTCATTAAAAAATGGTTAGCTTTATTTAAAATTATAAATATAGATTTCTCTAAAAAGCGTTAAACTATAGTGTAAAGAGGCAATGCGCACTTGAACAATATCTAGTCTTAATTAAAAAATATAAGTTAATGTCACTAAAATATGTTGTTGTTGTTTTAATTGATGTTTACAGAAACAGAGTTGACAATACAATAATTAGATTATTATAAGATAACGAAATTGTTATCGATATTGATATAACTCATTATCTCCTGTATTAAACCTGAATTTTATCATGTCAAATTAATATTTCAAAAAAACCTATCTAAAACTTTAGAAACTAAACTATGTTTCACTCAGTTGCCATATTATTCTTAGAATCTTAGTCGAAAACAATCATGCCAAAAACCTGTCACCTTCTTAATCATAATTCTTATACTTATCATTACTACTAAACGTCATCTATCTATACTATATAATATTCTATTTGTAAAAACATTTTGAAAGGATTTAACATTGAAAAATAGTGAGAGCGTTTCATATTATATATTTTTATTGCGTATTGAAAAACAGACTAACGTTAAGATTCTGGAACTAACACAAGTCAATCATTATTTTTAACTTTGAAAATATAATATTTATACATATCATACATATCTCTCTCATCTAACTGATCTATAGCAATAAAAGTATCATATAAATGAGATAAATAAGAAAAAGACATACCTTCATTCGTCACATTTGATTGACGGGAAAAAGCTGCTTGTTGCATTTCATTCACTTCGTCTGTTAAAATAAGAGTAAGTTTGGCAATAGATGAAACTACTAAATCAGTCTGGTTAACGTTGAAATTCATTGAAAAAAGTTGTTCGAAAAGATATTGAAATCTTTCTATCATTTTTGTAACTGTCTTATTGTCAAATAGATCCCGTGAACAAGTTAAACGACATGATAATATGTTGTCATCCGAGAGTGGATTGCAAATAAATGCAAACTTAAAATCAAATTTAGCCACTTCTGAAAGTTGTTTTAACAACACTGGCTGTAAAATAACATCATCGAAAGTAAACTGATCGTTAACTGAAGATACAGTAATGAAATCAAAAACTGTCTGAAGAAAAGGAACAGTGGATTGATTAAGATGAAAATCACGAAGAATACGCTGAAGTGGATAATGTGAATGTTCAAGAATTGATAGACATTTTTCTTGTACATGTTTAGTAAGTTCATCAAATGACCATTGTGGATCAAGTTTAATACGATATGGTAGTGTTGAAACAAACATTCCTATTATATTTTGCAATTCTGTTTTGTATCGATTAGCATTATGGCAAGAAATACATAAATCAGTTTGACCATGCGTTAACTTGAAAAGAAAAGCATATAATATACTCAGACCTAATTGAAATGGTGTCACATGATGTATAGAAGCATAATCAAGAAATGATGAGGATATTTCTCTGTCGAAAGAGATTTGAGTAGTACAAGCAGAACCAGATCGTAGATCATTAGATAAATAGTGTTGATCGATTGGTAATGACAATCGAGATCCCAAATTGTATTCTTCTAACTGTGAATACCAAAATTCACGAGATGTTGTCATATCAATTAGACATTCGTGTATGCTATAATCAATATATTGCAATGATTCATCGTCTTCTGTTGGTATTGCATTAGTATTATAAGCTAAACATAGATCATTGAAAAAGATCGGAGAACTTGCTCGATCAAATACTGCATGATGAGAA